GAAGCAAGGGGGCAGGGTTACAGAACATTCCTGAAGTAAAGGGGCAGGGTTACAGGACTTTCCTGAAACACATGCCTTGTGAGCATGCTCACTGAGGCAAGGGGGGGCGGAGTTACAGAACATGCTTGAGGGGGTGGAGCTTAACAGAACATTCCTGAAAGGTCACACAGTTCAGTCGCAGACCATTTTGATACATTGGGCAGGAGGCCAGCAACACAAACTTACATTTCCAAAACAAAACATTCTGTGGGGAAAAATGGAGGGAAGGCCAGGGCCTGTCATATTGTAGAACTTCTCTATCAACGGTACTAATTTGAGTCTTTTTAAAACCCTATATGGCTCTAAAATAACTCCTTTCTTCAGCCTTATATTGTGAGTGAAATGCAACAAGACAAACAGCACTTGCCTGCCAAATTGCTTCAGGGGGCAAATGCATAAAAAAGAACATAAATAAAAGCAAAAGAAACCAAAAGCCTATAATCAACTGAAAAATAAACAAAAAAAAAGGTTTTCATAAAATATTGAAGGTTGTTGGGTGCCAAGATTGGCTCCATGTCAAATCTGGCTTGCTCCAAAGTTGGAGAACCAGTCCCTGAGAAAGTCTTTTCATCAGCCCGATAAGTTTCTCCAGAGGTGCCAAAGGCAACTTTCCAGCTAGTGTGGGTGCAGTGGCAGGACAAATCTAAAAGGAGATTTTATTGAGCCTGGGCTTCTACAGACTCCCCTAAGTCCCTAGACCAGGCAAATCCTTCTTGTCAGTCAGGTTGCCGCCATCTTCTCTGGAAACAGACCCTAAGATGGAGCCTGGCATGCAAGGTCTTCATGAGGATCAACATCAGGAAGCAGGAGAAGAAGTGGGGAGGCTGAACTGTAGTGCCTGCCTGGGAAAGCCTGGGCCAACCCCACAGACACTAGTTCTCTTACCTTGAGAACTCTAGCCAGAGTTCTCAGGCTGGGCGTGGGTCATTCCAGGGAGGAGAAACTCTTGGGGCACTTTGGCAGGCAGATCCTGAGTGGCTGGTTGGCAGAAGGTTGATGACTGTGGGGGGAGCAGGTGGTCCTTCCTTGGAGGGTGATCCGTGAGTCTCTGTTCCACCACAGAGGGCATCTTGTGAGGTGGATGACGGGATAGGAGATGAATTCACGTTTCTGCAGGAGGCGCTGTCAGTGTCCAGTGCGAAGTGTCCACAGGGATGGTTTAAAAGTAACTGTGAGGGTTCCCACTTGATATCTTCGATGTTAAGGGCTCCCAGAGACACAGTGTATTGGAAAACCCAAGTTGATCTGAGGTACTCTTTGATTCACAACTTCAGTCTCTCTACAACCAAGTCTTCCACATTAACAATATTCATAACTCAAGCGAAGAGACTGCTTTTTGTCACAAGAGAATTCAATAATATGGGAAGGCAAAATTAATCCACAGCAAAACTCATATCACTGGTTGAAAAGTACTGTCAGTGTTTTTCCTGACTCTGGCCTTCCTTTTCACCCTTTCTCCCTCGGGATCCCTCTTTAGTGACAACACGTCTCATAGCTTAGGCCTCTGTACTCTCTCCCTCTTTGTGTCCTATTAGGTAGGATTTAATGTACCATCGTCTTCCCTGGCTCCATCTACCCTCTTGAGGTTAATTTCAGCCTCAAGTCCTTACTCCTTCCCCCTGCCAAAAAAAAAAATCCAACTCCAAAAGCATAAATAATGTGAACTTCAGAAAATTTTATGAAGAGATGGAGCAGGATTAACTTTACATGTATTTTTGTCTATAAAATGTTTTAAATGGATCCTTTACTCTTTTCCTCATAGTGGTTTCTCCTATCATTCCTTCTTCCTTAAGAATCCTCTAAGGCCAGCCTCAACTATATAGCAAGACCCTGTCTCCAACTGTTTCGGAATTGCGGAAAGAAATGTACGGAGACACAGAAGTTGGGTAAAAAAAACAAAGCCAGCAAGGCGAGACTGCCAGAAACTTGTCTGATCAATGTCTGTGCCATTCTTTGTTTTAACATTCCCTTTTATATCTTCTTTTAGCCATTACTTCATTCCTGGTGGTCTTAGTAAGATTTCTGTTTCTCTTTTACAACTAGTTCCTGTTAGTGGTTAAAGTCACAGATATATAACAAACAGATGGCGCTTAAAACACATACATTGTAAACTACCCAAACATTTCTACTTTGCTTTTCTCCAGGTTAAATGTTATCTACAGCTAGGTTACAGGTCAAAGGTTCAGTCAGCCATCACCTTAAACAATAAGAGTTACGGGAAAGGTAAATCTTAAAGGAATGTATTACTTATTCTACTTCAGCTACCGTAATAACTAACTTACAGTTCAAATTTTCTCTATCACAACAACAACAAGAATCCTCTAGCTTCTTTAGGGAGACTTGGCCTTCTTTATCCAGACAAGAGCTTACTGATCCGTGCAGTGTTAAAGAATCAAACCAATAAACCAAACTGAAACAAATCCAGAGCTTTGAGACCAGTATCTCTCGAGGCAGGCACCAGAACCACTGAGCTAAATCCCCAGCCTCCCCAGTATCTCTCAAGCATGCTCTCAGGGTCCCTCAGTTCATCCTGTCACACTGCCAACGTAAGCAAAGTTCTGACACAATCTTTATTCTTATGGAAGTGCCAGGAGCCACCTTTAGTTGGGTACTAATGTTTTTCATCTACTCATCATTAGTTTCAGTCTAAGCTTCCTTAACAAAGGAGCCCTCCCCCAGTACTGTGGTGTGGGGAGGACTGAAGTTTCCTTCTCCTAGCCTGTGGCTCAGAGATTGGCAGCACAAGGCTCGTGGAAGGCTGTGTTGCCCGTCTCAACGTCGGGCTTCCATCTCTGACCCGAGGGGGCTGCTTATCTGTATTCCGCCAGTAGGAAGAGCAGAAGGAGAGGAGTGGATATATATTTCTCTAAAGGGTAGGAGCCAGGAGTGATGGACATTGTTTCTGTCCTCTTGCCACTGGTAGCACTTAGACATGTGGCCATATTTAACCTGCAAGGGAGGCTAGAGAATTACTCCAGCTGGGCGCCCCCTGAAACTCAGGAGTTCTACAGTGTACTGAAAGGGGAATAGGCATCTTTGCAGTGTGGGTCCTAGGCAGCTATCTGTGCTACCATGTACATTTCTGCCTCTCAGATAGCCATCAACTTTTCTTTGCACACAGAACATATTTGCCCGCTCCTCCAAGGAGTTACTGCAGAACCCCCATACAGTTACACATTCGAGATGGATGGGGCTTCTTACCATCTGCCCAGCTGGCTGTCCCCCTCCACACCGAAATGTAATG